TGAGCAGCAGAAGTCATATTGCTGGATTGCCACCTTGCGGAAAGACAAACGTTTGATCTATCCCCTGTCTATGCCTATCTCTCTTCCAACATCCACTGCACTTTATTAAGATATACTCCTATCCGTGTTCAATATAGTGTAGCTGTTATTTAACATTGTGATATTGTTTTTCCAGTACTTTTCTATCATATTATTCCTTATCTTTTTAGACACCGGTGTACTCTGTAACATTGTATGAATGACTATGCTGTATATATTGCATAATAACGCTGAATTGGTATACAGTATGAAATATTGTATCCTAGTGATGTGACCATGTGTGTTAGGACATGTAAAATGTTTATTTGGCCCCTGTACTGAAGCATATCATTGTTGTCTGTTTGCAGGTACCCGAGATGTTGCACAATGATGCGAGCGACCATGGCTGTAGCCGGTGGGGATATTTTCTCCTGCAGAATGCTGGAATTCTTTTAGGATTTTCCATCATGCTGGTTATTTCTATATTCGAACGTATTAATTTCACTGTTAACCTATAACTATAGGTTGCCTGTGGTCATCAAATGTAGGCAGCAAACTAAGTTATTTTTTATTTTTGTTTATTTTTTTTTTATGCAGTAAGCATATCTATTTTTATACTAATTGTAAAAAGAGACTGCACTTGGTGGCTTTGGAGAAGATGCAGTAAGACTGCAACGGTCATTAGCAAACAAACAAACTGTTTGTGCCAAAGTCATATATTTTTTTTTTTCTTTTCTCATTTACCATTTTTTTAACTTATTTAATAGATGCGATCTAAATAGAAAAATATATATATGTATGTCCATATCCACTTTGGCAAATCCTAGTTTTGGCGCTTTTGTTTATTAATTTCTCTCTATTTTAGCACTTCTGTGTGTCTGTTTTGGAGCACAATATATAGGTCAAGACATACAGCCAATTAGGGGGTTGTTAGAGTTCCTTTGCAGTAGTTGTTAGCTAATGGTTATAATATTTTCAGTGAAAAAGAGACCTAAAGCTCTATTCCACCATTGCAGTAAAAGTTAAATAAGTAAACTCGCCTCCTTTCTGGCACTGTCCCATGCAGACTCACTGCTCCAGTCTGATGCTAGCCCTCTTCCAGGTTGAATGATGCTTACCATCAGTCAACCCACTTACTGTAAGCCCAGGCTGTCATGGGCACACCCCCTGGGGGCTGCACAGAATCACATATTCGTAATCACTGTTCTGTGTAGCAGTAGGGACCATCCACAGCTGCTGCCAGACAAGAAGCAGAGTGTTGTCATGTGACTGTTTGTTTTATGTTTACTGTTTTATGGGGTGGCAGTGAAGGTTGAGTTGGACTTATGTGCAACTCCCCCATAAACTTGTTAGGCTTTGTTTATATTCTGTGCCAGGGCAGCAAAGTTAGCTTTGTCTATTTATCTCCTATCTTGTTTTGTTTGGTTTAACGTATGCAGATTACTCAAATTTTCAATATTCCAAAACCAGAATGTTCAACTTTCTTTGTTGGCATGCAAAAACTCCAGCAGCCATGCAATGTTGTGTTTTTAAGCGAGCATTTCATAGTTGGAAACTGAACCCCATGCCATTAGGTAAAATATGAGCATTTCCAGGGTACAGGAGATATTTTAAAAGTCTGTATAGGCTAATGACACAAATAAGGTGACAAACGCTATTCATAACTTCACTGCCCTGTTTCACACTGTCAAATTTGTCAATACATAGTTACGTTTAGAGAAGTACATTTGAATACCATGCATGCAAGTAATGCACGCAATCCTCAAGCCGTGGTGCAAAGTCTGGCATACTCATGATTACCTCTTTTCTGCTCTTAAGAATAAAGCTGGCCATACATGGCTCGAATGCCAGCTGATTTCTGTTGAATGTGCCAAAATCCGTGCCATGGGTGGCCTTGTTGGCACCTCGAGGCTCCACAATGGAGTAAAGATGTGGAAGTGCCGGGTGAAAAGTTCAGGTTTTTAGACTGCCTGAGATGCGGGCTGTCCAAATCCGGTAGCTGTTTAGCATGGATGGGGAAATGGAGTGATTTCTCTCGTTCAGCCTGCAAGAGAATTCTAGCTGTGTATGGCTAGCTTAAAGTGCAACTGCAGCCAAAACTTTGTTTTAGTTTTGGAGCGGGATTATTCTTTATTGCTGTCTGTGTCTACATAAGGGATTTACCCTCCTTATTTGTCCTTTGTGATTGTTTCCACTGAAAGTGAATGAAAAACCCAAATTTTGGGTTGTCATCAGAACAGGAATGGATAGTAAATCTTCCAATGGGGACACTAGTTCTGGTTACCCTGCTGACCACCAGAGATTTCCCTTTTAGGAGGGATGACCTCTCACTTCCTGCTGGGCTATCTGACAGGAAGCTAAAGGACATCTCCCCAATGGGACCCAAAGGTAAAAAGGCTGATGGTATATAACCCTCCTTTTGTTTTGTCTTTAGTTCTACTTTGCTCAAACATTTTTATTCTGTGTTAGTGGGTAGAAGCTGGAACACACACAACCTATTTGCATACTAGTGGTGATCCAGTATTGAAATCCTTTGGGGTGGATGGAAAGTGAACTTTATCACCAGATTCCTTCAGTGACTGAATGTTTTAGTGGGAGGCACTTGATCATGCTTTTCAGTGTAGGGTGTTCCTTCATTATCATTCAACCTGTGTTTTTGTTTGCTGTATAATTTGTAATCTACCTTCAGTGGATGGTGCTCCTCTCAAAACATAAAACAAAGATATGTTACAATCGTAATAATATGCAAGGCTTGTGGCATATTATTAACAGAGGAAAAGAAACAAATGCATGTCACGTTGAGGTCAATTATTATCAATCTGTTTTATTTATTAATTTGATCCAAGTTGTGCAATCTTACCTATTGTCTAGCTGCAAGAGATTCCTTTTCTGAATTTTGTTCCTAAACATTTTTGAGGAGGAGCTTTAGAAAATATGGCCGTGTACATGCCAAAGACCAGCATAGGTGTTTCTGATTGATCTAGGTTTACAGACTGTTGCCTAGTGTGCGCTTAGCTAATGGTTACACTTAGAATGATCTTGCCTATGATACATTTTGCAGATCTTGTGGTTTTCAATGTATCAAGGTGCAAATGCCTTATTTATTTTCTTAATAAACTTACTTTAGAAATGTTTCACTTGAGCAAATAAATTCTCCAAACAAATGTGTCCCCAGTGATCTGTCCATTCAAAGCCAAATGTCTGCTGATGGCCCCTTCCCCTCAGCAGGTTTTGGTTACTGAGCCCTAATCCATAGCTCTGATGGAGCTTGACTTCTAGGTTTGGGTGTGCATGTAAACCCCCCCCCCCCCTCTCCCATG